ATTATCTTACTCAAACGTGTGAAAATTGGACTTATTTATACCCGATAAAGAATATTGGGTAAACATTACGTCATAACTAATGCTTACCCAATATTCTTTATCATTACTAATTAAAATAAACGTGTTATACTTAATATGATAAATTGAGATAGGAAAATCAATAAATAGAAATATTCGTAACGTTTAACAATTTTGTAATTTGTACTAACCGTAAAATTGTTAATCAAAATTTGTCGCAGCTGATGCTGAAATTTGAGGTCTCGATTTGAAAACATAACGATAAGCCCTGCTAAAATTCACATATACTCTTTAATTATCAATTCTAACCCTAAATTCTAACCTAACCCTAAAAAAAAGGCGGACAAAAACACCTCAAAAAATTCTTAAAGTTTCATATCAAAATAGGTCCGGATTTCAGCATCAGCCGTTTTCAGCAACAATTATTTATTTGCTAATGTTTCCAGCTGTTAATACATAATACCCGATACAAACATCCAACTATAGTTATAATCTTAATCGTTTATAGATTTAAAAATTATCTAGTAGCGCAATGCATTGACTAAAATACCCTTTTATATCCCTCGTGCAAAATACTCTGGTGCAAAGCCTGAAACCTCTCTTAATTAAACGTGAATCTTTTAATTTTCCGGATTACTTATTATTATATATGTAGAATATTTATTTATTTACTTGAAATTTTTTCTTTATCGCGATACAAACATGCTACAGCTTAATGACAGGGTATTTTGTAAAATTTTCACTAGTCAAAATAAAGCATGATAAATAAATATAATTAAAATATTGTATTCCGATTTTTTGCTCGAATCGATAAGCTGCCTCAATTTAAGTCCGAGGGTAATACGCTTCATTTAGTGGTCTATTTGTTTTCGAATATTAGCGTTTTCGATGTCGCTAGTCATGCGTTCATTTTTCTTCCTCAAAATGTTCTTAACCTGCTTCTCACTCAGCTCATTCTTTATGTATGTGTTGTCAGAACCTCTGAAGGGGCTATCCCGTGGCAAATAGTCCTTTAGGTTGGTGAACATGCGGTTGATTAACTGTTGGTACATCAGCTCCGTACTTCGTGCAGCCAGTCGCCCAGGACGTAGGCATGTTTTGCTTCCTCGGAATAGGACATCAGGACATCGTCTAATTTATTCAGTTCGATAGCTCGGTAGATCCGATGCAGGAGGAACTTGGGGCTCTTAATCGCTCTGAAAGGGGTCAACTTCCATCCGCAAAATTCGGGGAAGTGTCCATAGTCGGTGGTAGCGATCAGTTTAAAATACTTCTTGACCTTATGTTTATCGCGGGGCACCACGTAGTCATTAATCGCACTGTCATCGCCGCCCATTAACATTGGGGTCCCGGGTTTTATGGTCAGTGCGGTGAGGGAGTAAGCTGCATTATGAATGCTATTGAAGAAGAAGGTGGGAGGTCCTCCTGACCACATCATGGTCTGCAAGTAACCCGCATTTTCGACCTGCATATTGAGCATATATTTGGCGTACACGTCCATAAGGTACTCAGGGATATCGTAGTTCTTCATCAGGCACAGGTCGAACCTGGTAAACTCCGTCCCTTGGCCTGTATCGAAGCATTGGTAATCATTAGCCGTTCAGATTTTTGTGAAGTCAAACTCCTCCTCCACAAAATCCATCACTTTTGTGATGTCCTCCTTGAAGTTGATGCACGTCTTTTTCTCGCGCATAATGGGAACCAATAGCTTAGCCAGATAGCGTACCACCATCCCCATAAGCTGGATGATTTCTTCGGTCACCTTGGTGATGATTTGGCCAGGCAGAGCACTCTTCATGAGTTTGCTTAACTTGGTCAGCCCTTGCTGTTTAAGGAAAGTTTCGACTGTGTATGGGTTCTTTCCTGGGTCATAGCTATCAACTATCTGCATCAATGAAGTGAGTGCCTTTCGTTCTCTCACATTGTTGTTTTCGAGGTACACGGCATGCATAAGTTCCGGGTCGAACTTCAATGGTTTTATGTCATAATATCTTGCTTCTGCTGGTATTGAAATCCCTGAAATTTTGATTGCACTTCACCCAAGTTACTTTTTAACGAGAGCCTGAGCGTGGCATAGTCGCTAGCCTTGTGTGTTGGAAAGCATGAGGTCCAAGGCTTGTCTTCATCGAATTGCACGGTAAATCCGACATTGAGCACGAAGACATCTCTGGGGTCATGTGGGGGCAAATCATTGAGCATTAGTGCCTTAACATAACTCTCGAGCTCTAAGATCAGTTTGGTCCTAGGCGCTCCTATTTTAATGGCGGTGTATTCGGCGATCGATGCTTCAACCTTGATGTGTATGGGGGCCTCGATTGAATGCATGTTCCTCATAGCCACGACGTAAGGATGGAAGAACAACTTCGCCTTTTTAATTTGACTTTCGCTCCAGTCTCTGGTAACTATCATTTCTCGCCCTTCTAGTTCAGCGATGACGCCGTAATAGCGGAGCCACTCCACTATCTTGATTCTATTTTCCCGCTTCTTAGGTACTTCCTTGCCACCGAGTTTAAGGAACTCGGCAAGAAGCTTTAGTGCGCAAGGATTAGTAGCGATGGCTAGAGCGGCCTTGTCGGGGTCCTCGTCCTCCAACTCTTGCTTAGTGAGTGGTCTAGACACCCAGATCAATTCGGTTGAGTCCTCTCCCAACATTAAATGCGCATTCCAAAAATCCTTGTTAAAGCCCACAAAGCAGCGTCGGGCGAGCATATAAGGGTCCAAGTTAGGATTTCTTGCCCTTGCGCGGCAAGTCTCCTTTTCCCAACTTACTTCAAAATTATCAAGGAACAGTGTGGTAAATCGCAATCTTGGTTTATGATGTAGTAATGCCAGTGTGATCAGTTTAGGGTCATTTGCGGCCATGGCCCTTAATATTTTTGTGATGAGCAGTTTCCTGTCCATCGGTGCACTTGTGCCTATGGCTGTGCGTTTCTGGAAGGGTTAATAAGTAAACTACGTATAGTTATACTTATTGGTTCATTTTAAGTACACATCAGAAACTATAGATGCAGACATTTGAAAACGTATGGTTACGTCCAATTGACGTATCGTCACGTCAAAAGTGTCGTAACGACGTAGGTCATAATATCTGATATTTGTCGTAACTTAGTTACAGCAATATAAAAAGTTTACGGCAATGCAAAAACTATAAGTTATGTTATAGAAAAATAGAAAATTACGAATAAAACTGGTTATATTAAACGATCAATCCAAGAATTTATTCCAATAACTTATATACAATAACAACGACAGTAACTACATAATATACTTATTACACTTTACAAAGTTAGAGTCAAATATTTTATAGTGAATAAAATGGTAAAAGAATATTGACTAAGCTCATATATTCTTCTTATAGCGTCGAGAATATTAGTATAAATTTTTGTACTTCATGCCAAATGTTAAGACGTAATGGTAAATAAAGATGAGTACGTAGAAATGTTACGGCATAAGTCAGATGTAACTTAGAAGTTACTATATATGTAAATAAAATATTGCGCAAAAGTCAAATTTTACGACACAAGTCAAATGTTACGGCATGCGTCAGTTATGGCCTTTTGACGCATCATGTCATTGAGTACGTCCAATTGACATTATAACCTCATCATATGTTTGCACCTATATCAGAGCTATCAGATACGTGATAGTTCTATAGCTTTATCAGTTTCTGATATGTACTTGTAAATAACACAATTCGAGCCAAAAAATCGAAATACAATATTATTACACGGCAATTGTAAATGTAACATTTATACGTATTAATATCAATATGCATGTTGCTTTATTAATTGTTGCCAAAATATTTAAATGATGGTACGATATTACAGAAATATTTTGAAATTTTTAGCAGCTAAAAAGTAGTTTTTTTACGTAAAGCTAATTTAAAAAATATGAGAATAATTATAAATCTCAAATTTATTTCTGAAACAATTGGTTTAAAATTATTTTTGTTGAACTAGTAAGACCGACTACATAGAATGCTTGTTACATTATTATTAAACGAGATTCAAATATATATTGAGAATATTAAATATATATATATATTTACGATTGAATAATTTTTCGTAATTCATTAATTTTTTTTTCAAGTTCATTTTTTATTTCTGATTTACAATTTGCTATTAAGGACTCTTCCTTTTTTAAGTATTCCAAAAGTTCGGATTTATTATACTTTTTGGCAATGAGCCAGCTGATTTTAGAGAGTTGTAATTCAACAAATTTAACTCCTGCTTTGATATAGCCATGTTTTGCGGCTCTTCCCATGTACTCCGATGCATCGGCCAAACAAAGTACGGCATAATCATATTCTGCATCGTAGCAACCTAATTCTGCAGATTTTCGATAATATTTGAGCGCTTTATTTTTATCTTTTTCTACAACATATCCCCTATGATAATAATAAGCTAGATAATAGGTCGCCTTTGCATGACCTTCAGATTCTAATCGTTGGAAAATAGGCAAAGCATTTTGGTATTGTTTTTTTTTATGAAAATTTATTGCAGCGTTATAATTATTATGTTCGAATGGTGGTAAATTTTCTGTGAATTGAGGATTTTCAGACGACGTGGGTGTACTTGAAGTCACTGAGAATGAATTGTTAAATTCTACATTCGAAGGAGTAGTTAAGCAATCATCTTCAAGGCATGTTGCAAGTTTTTTGTGCATAATTTCAGCTGAAGGACGTTCATATGGTTCAGTTTTCCATGCTTCTTTCATAACTTTTGCATACTTGTGTGGGATGGTGCTTTCATCAATAAGTTCTGGTCTGTTTCCGTCATTAACATATTTTACGAATGCCTCAGGATCTTTCAAATCCTTTAACTCATAATATGGCGTTTTTTGTACGGCGACTTCCCAGAGAACAATAGCGAAACTATTAAATATTTAACGCATAAATTTATGTTAACTCTGATGTATGCGCGTGTTCAATTAAATTTATTTACCTATAGATATCACATTCCCTGGTATATGGAGTATTTCTATCTACGAGCTTTTCGGGTGCAATCCATCTGTGAAAAATAGCCAGTTATTAGTATTAGTCTGTATAATAACAACTATATATTTGTTTTATTAAAATTTTTTTTTCTTTCCTTTTGATCAATACCTAGTCTCATTCTGATCAATAGAAGTAGTTTCATGTCCTTCTTTTCTACTTAGGTGAAATCCAGAAAGCTTTGCGCATATATTCGCATCGAGTAAAATGTTATAACTTCTCACATCATGATGGAGAATATCACGATAATGACAAAACACTAGTCCATTAGCGATACCCGTAACAATCTTTAGTTTAATAGACCAATCAAGGTCTTGATTATTCTTTATGTATTCTTCGAGATTGCCATGCTCACACCAACTGATAATCATATATAATTGGCTTTGTGTTTCAAGTGTGCCGTAACTACAAATAAACCATTAGTCTGATTTCTTGGACATTTCTATTACATTTATATAAATGGCCTTTTAGACTTACAACTTCACAACATTTTCGCAATCAGAAAGCAGCTGTAACATATTGATTACCCTTTCCGTCTCCCTTTTTTCATTCTCGTAATAACAGGAGAGCGATCCAAGACATTTCTGGGCAACTAATTGTGTGTATGTCAAAAATGCTTTCTTTTCAACATTTCCCCTCTTGACTTTTAGCGGTGTTGGCACATCACGAATGTCGGAGGGTTTTATTTTGATTAAAGTCGATGATAATCCATGATTTATTGCCATGAGACGAAGATCTTTCCCAAATTGAATTAGACTCTTTTTAATTTCAACTGTATCTTTTTTTGTGTCCAACTGAAGCTTAAGCCTAAATTGATCGCCAATAGCATTTAATTCCTCAATTAAAAGCATGCATTGATTTTCGAACTAAAAATTGCAAAATCAATTAATATAATTTTACAAAATCAATATCGATATTGCATTTATTTTTAATAATAACATTCACCTCAGCAGCTGTTGAAATACGTTTTATTCTTTTCCAAATGTCAAAGGATTTTTTATGTTGTATGCTATTTACGTAATCTTTAATTTTACTTAACACTCCTTCATATCGCTTGAGTACAGCATCGTTCACTTGAATACTTTCGCATTGTTCAAGAATTTTTTGAGTTTCTTCAACATTTTTGGCAATAAACTTACAAATTGCCTGACCACGTTTTGCCTTATTAATTGCCCCTCGTATTTCATCAACCAATAAAGCTATAGCACTTGTTATGGGAATGTGCTTGGCAATGAAAAGAGTGCCATCGATAATAGCTGGTAGATCTTCTTCGACAAAGTTTGCCATAGCTTCCGTCGTTTTTACAACATTTCGAATATGGGTTTTTAAAGCAAAGGTTATACCATCCTTTGTGCATCATTATATACCATCCTTTGTGCATCATTATATACGCCCGTGTATACTTTGTGTTGCTTAAATGTTTATACGTAACAAAGAACATATATTTGTTTCAAGATACAATTTTATACAAAAACAAAATACTCGCTATGTGCTTTCCTTTTAGTACTATTAGATTGATATATAACAATTATTTCACTAAGGGTTTTCAGAAAATTCAAATGACAGATTGTCCAAATTGCAAACAGCAACTAGATATAGCTGGTTGGTGTAAAATATGCGAAGAGTATTACTATGGTGACTGCCCGATTTGTAAAACAAAGCGGACTGGAGAGCTTTGGTGCCAACATTGTGAGTCCCGTGCTTATCGAAAAAATTTTAGGAAATGGACTAGTGGAAATAAACACATTGACTCACTAATCCAGCAAAGTCAAATTAATGCTAAAGAAAATTATCAAGTGTGGGAATGGATCCCATATACCCAGTTCACTAATATTCGTTATTTAGATAAAGGTGGTTTTTCGACTGTCATGTTGGCTACATGGTTGGATGGTCCGCGCGATATTTTTAATCGAGATACTCAAAGTGTAGAAAGACGTCCCAATGAAGAAGTTATTCTTAAAATATTACATCAATCGCAGAATATTAATGCAGAGTTCTTGAAAGAGGTACGTAATTAATTTATAATTTATACAGTCAACTCTATACTGAATTTGTGGTTCTTATAAAGCTTCAAAGGTTTATTTTGAGGTTTACAAAGCTCTATCAATTTTTTGATCATTCTAATGAACATTAATTTAGAAAGAACTGATTCAGGGAGTTGACTGTACATAAATAAGCTTTAACTTTAAAACAGGCCTTGTTAAGAAAGTTCTTAAATATACAGCTTAGGTCAAATTACGCATGCAGATTAGCAGGTGTTGGTTGGATTCTCGGCATAACTAAAGAACCAAACACAAATGAATTTGTTATGGTGATACGATATTATGAAAAAGGTGACTTCCGAAAATTTCTCAGACAAAACGCAGAGAATTTAACTTGGCGTGAAAGATTGCTCATGCTCCATTATGTTGCTAGTGCGCTCATTGAAATACATGAAGCTGGATTTATTCACCGCGATCTGCACCCTGGAAATATTTATCAACGATACAATACGCGGTATAATGTTCATGTATCATACGTAGGTGACCTGGGACTCTGTACACCAGCTAACGAATCCCCAAAATCGTCAAGGAGATACGGCGTTGTTCCATATGTTGCGCCCGAAATTTTGAGAGGTGGTGTATACACAGATAAATCGGATATATATAGTTTCGGTATCATCATGGCAGAATTAGCATCAGGAAATGCACCATTTTCGAATTTAAAACACGATCATTATCTGGTACGTGAAATTTTGAAAGGAGCCCGACCAGAGTTTCCAGATGAAACACCAAAATGTTATGTAGATTTGATGAAACGTTGTTGGGATGGCAATCCTTTAAATCGTCCTACAGCAAAATTGCTGCTAAGCGAACTCAATAAATGGATTAAATTTTATAAACCAGAATCCTTGCCGTTAAAAACTTTAAACACTGAGTTGTCTTTTCAGAATGAATCAAACAATGAATGTAAACAATTTTATGAAGCAGATATATCACATCATAACTTGCCAAGTTACAACTTTTCAAAGGAACTCTACAAAAGTAAAGATATAACAACTCTTGTTGAAAATGTCGAAAGCAATAATTTTGAACTTTGTGAGGCAAATAATTTACAAGAAAATAGATCAAATGATGAACTCTGGGTTAGCACAGATATAACTTATATTAGTAATAAAAGTTTTGAATGCTCTGATTCAGTCTAAGGCCATGCAATGTTAATTTTTTGGTTCTCATAACATAAAATTTGAAAAATGACCCGGCAACCCGGCTTTTAATTTTATTTTCAAAAAATTTTATATATAAATAAGCATATAAAAATTTTTATAGACCTGAAAAATTTCACCCGGATAGTAAATACAGTATAGTCAAAATTTTTTTGCCCCGGCCGGGTTATGAGAACCAATTTATTAAGTTTGTATGGCCTAATGTCTTTTTATTTTTTACTTTGGCAATTTTGTTAGTGTTTTTTATTAAATATTAATACAATCAACCCTCTCTATAATCACACATCGGGATGATAGTAACTTTTTAAACAATGTGTTTATAAAAAGATTGTGCTTATAGAGGTTTTTTCTATATATTTTTAGTAGTTTGTTTTACAAAATTAGATGCTTATATAAAGGTGTAATTATATAGGGTGTGATTATAGAGAGGGTTGACTGTACTACAACTATATATAATAAAAGTAATTTAAACTACAAGCCCAACATCATGTGGCTACTTCTTAAGTAAAATGTCACGCCAGACCAATATGTCATAAAAGATACAAGCATCTAAACAAGCATACCAAATTATTACTCTACAATTAAACACTATCAAACTGATAATATTTTTTTATAAAAAGATAAAAAAAAATACTACTACTAAGAGGTAGAAGAATTGAGTTAGAAGAGAAATAAATATTATAAGTTCAAAATGATAATGTTTAAAAAACTAAACTATATAGTTAACTATACTAAATATCTAATATATTGCTTAGTAACTATAATAGTTACTATAAGCTTATAACAGAAAAAATTTATATAATATGGTTTCAGAATTATATATACTGTATATCTTTTATTTATAAATCTTTTCAACTTAAATTTTGTTTTGTTATTATATAGGTAACTACTTATATACTTATTTTTTTTTATAATTTGACAATCTTGTCTTTGTTTATTAGGATTTAACAATTTTAAATTTTTATTTATAGTTGTAATCAATCTAATCAAACAAAAGGCTTAACTGACTTTTGTTCTAGTGCAATTTGTCTCAATAACTCTTGGTCTTCTTTCAGGTTCTTAATTTATTAAGAATTTTTTTTTTGGTTAGTAACTAGCAGTTATATATCTTGTTAGAACTATCTAATTAAATTTAAAGGTTACAATATAATAATATTTGGTTATAGCTAGTACTTGCAAACAATACTAAGTATTGAATCACTAAAATTATATTATATATGTTTTTCTACTATTTCTATTCTCTATTAATATTTAATTTTCTATATAACTTTTTATATTCACTTGTATTCTCTTTATCTTTATTTTTTTCTTTTGTTAGTAGTCTGATTTTGTTTTTAAGGTTTCTTTTTCTTTTTTTGATTTTTTCAGTTGTAAATCTTGTTTTTACCTTTTTTTTAATAGGTTTGATTTTGTTTTTTATTTTTTTCTTATCTTGAGTCTTCAGTTTTTCTTTTTTTGATTTTTTTAGTTGTGAATCTTGTTTTTACCTTTTTTTTAATAGGTTTGATTTTGTTTTTTATTTTTTTCTTATTTTGAGTTTTCAGTTTTCTTTTTTTTTCTTTTTATTTTGGTTTTTATTTTTTTTATTATTTATCTTTTTTTTAATTTGATTTTTGTTTAGTCTTGTATATTTTGTTTTTATTATTAATATTATCTTTTGAATCAGGCTATTATAAAATAGATTTTACTTTTTTTATAGATTATATTTTGATATATAAATTCTAAAACTATAATTTTGTTTGTCTTCTGTTTATTACTTTTATTATTGTTTTTTTTTCTAGTTTGGTTTCTATTATATCTTTTTGATTTTTTTGTTTTGTTATTTTATTATCTGTCTAGTTTGTAGTTTTTTTGAAAATACTTTTTTTGGATTTTGTCTTCATTCTTAGTTTATATTGTATATCTTTTTTCTTTTTCTAATTTTATTTTTAAGTATTTTACTTAATATTCTATTATATTTTCTATTTATCTTTTTATATATTAATTGAGTTTCTATTTTTTTATTTTAGTTTTTTATTAGATTTATTAGCTTTAAGTATATATTTTTTATTTTTGCTTTTTTATAATAAGCTCTATATATTATAAAGTTTTTTTTTAAGATAAATTTTTCATATACTATAATTAGTATATAAAATTTAATATTTTTAATATTCTTTAAGATATATAAAAATAATTATGAATATAAATATTTATAAATATTTTCTATTTAAAAATATTTAACAAATTTTTTTATATTAAAAAATTTTAACTTTTTAATTTGAGAACATCAAAAAATTTTTAAAAATATTAAGAATTTAAAAAATACTTTTTTAAGAACATAAAATTGAATTTGAATTTTAAATACTGGCTATAATATCTTTTTTTTTAAGTATATTTATTATTTAATTAATTTTATTTTTTTTGTAAATACTTATTTTTTTATTTAATTTTTTATTTATAGTTATACTATCTCAATAGTAAATTCTTTTTTCTAAAATTTTTATTTGTTTATTTTTCATATAGTTATTTATTTGTTTTATTTATATTATTTTGATATATTTTTTATTTATTCTTTTTTATATATTTTGTATTTTATATAACAAAAACAGATCTTTATTATAAGGTCAAAACTGATTTCTCATAAGTTTTGCAGTAAATAAAATTTTGTTAAATATTTAAGTTTTCTTCTATACTATTATTATTTTTGCTTTTTTTACTCTAATCTTTTAAGTTACTAAGTATTATTTATATTTTTCTTTTTTTTAAAGCTTTAAACTATATTTTTTAATATTATTTATTTAGTTTATTAAAATTTGTTTCTTGTAATTTTGTATACAGAAAATTAGCAAAAAAAGTATTTATATATAGTTATTGTTACAGATTATTGTAAAATCAGATTATCGTGAAATTTAGGGGTCTCGATTTGAAAATATAAGCCCTACTAAAATCTACCTATACTCTTTTATTAATAA